CATGTAATAAATTAATAAACTTTTAAAAATTAAGATTTGAAATACATATTTCTATATTAGCATATAAAGTGTGTATTACTGAAAACCAGTAGAATATTTTGCGCAAAATATATTATAAATACGAGCATATATTTCGAAAAAAGCATTCCAGATTTTATGCAAGCACCGCATTTTGTATCGCATTGATTAAAAATAATGTTCTTTTGCTTTCTCTTGGATAATAGAAATATTATAAATTATTAGAAAGGACTCTATTTGAATTCTACGCAACGTCATGATTATTCATTCACATTTAATGCAGTCAGCTATATTTCAGACTCGACGTTCAATGCAACTTGTTAGGAGCGAGAGTGGAGAATACGATGATAGTGTTCCAATAAGTTTTCAACGCGAAATTGAAATCCTGCGAGCTGCGAGCGTAAACTCGTTACTTATTCGTCCGGAAGCGCTGTAAAAGCGTTGCGAAACTCTCGGTCGGAATAGCATGGCGCGCTATATCCTCGATCGTTTAATCTGCAAGCGTGTTGAGCCCTATCGTGCTCGTTTCCCTCGTAGCTCGAAACTTAGAATCGCCGCATCGATGTCACTTACATTTATCCTTTAATTTACGTTCTGGTGTCGTGTTCGTTTACCGAAATCGTGTTCGTTTACGGAGAAGCAAACAGAATCATCGTGGTTTGTTTAACTCTGATTTTACCATGTATTTCTTTTTCGAGCTTTTAATATTACTTTTAGTATGTTTTTCTAAATTTTAAAAATATATCTTTGTTTTAAAATTTTTGTATATCTTACATTTATATTTTGTGCAATTCGAGAAGAAAATACGCGATAAGATCATACATATTTTTCAGAAAATAATTCAGTGTTAATTCAGTGTTTTAAAATTTTAATATATTATAATTTTACAATTTAATATTTTCAAAATCCCGCAGGATGAAATATATGATCCAATTAAAAACAAAAATTAATTTCTGTAATATATTTTGTATAATATTATTGAAAAAAATATTTTTGTATTAATAATAGAAAAAAATAAGAGACTATGCTAACAAAATATTTGATCATCACTAAGTTTGTAAACATGATTGGTTTATTGCAGAAAGATAGGAAAAATGTAAGTACGTAGTATCAAGCAAAAATTCTCATTTCATCGTTGATCTTCTTGATCTCTTGTTCACGAAGTTATGGATCGCGTTGTAGGATAGAGAAAGAAAATAGAGAAAGAGAGAGAATCACGCGTCTCCGTTTTATATTATTAACAGAGTCGTTCTTCGCCGATGGCACGTGACCAGCATGATACCTAGTTATACGTGCAATGAGTATTTCCTTCCGGATGCATTGTGAAGTTGAGATATTCTGCACTTTGTTAACGATCTTTTTGCCAGTGTCTGAATCACTGAAAAATGCTGTTGGAGATTATTATGGCAGCAAACTATTTCTAATATGTTTCGAATGATTGAAAATTATAGATTTTATCAATCATTATGACTATTATAAGCGATATATTTTTTAATAAATTAGACATTATTAATCTAGTATAAAATAACATTGCTGTTGCGACAATTTAAAAAAGATTTCTCGGCGTCGCTAGTATA